GTGTGGCCAGGAGAGGTCAAACTCGGGGTCAGAAACATGGAGTTCAGAGCAGAGGGTCTCCAAGCACAGATCTCAGAATGTTATGGCAAAGGGAACCAAGAATGCCTTACCTGCTGCCCCCGTAGATGGTATTGGAGGCAGAGGACAAGCCAGCTCTGCTTTTATCTGACACGTCTCCCCCCTTCCCTGAGCTCCATTGTATTTGTCTTACTATTTTGTCCGTAAGACAAGAGTTCATTTGAAGAAAGAGTTCTGTGATGAAAGAAATAATGGGGGTGTGGGAACTCTGGTTTTGTCCAAATCCTCATTTTACAAATGGGGAAACTCTTTTCTGTACCCCAGGAAATGACAAACAGGAAAACATTAATTTAGAGAAGGAGGATAAGCTTCCTAAGAAAAAAAAAGATCTGTAGAGAGAGCGTCACAAGATGAATGACTTCAGGAGATAGTGTCATGTCAGCAGAGTTTTAGGGACTTGAGCCTTTTCCTCCGTGAGAGTAGAAGAATGAAACACCAGTCCCTCAGCCTGACTCTCAGAGAGACCCTCAGCGGATGAGCAGTGCGTCCCATTTCATTTCCCTGGCCATGCTGAGCCCCACAGGAAATCTCAGAATTTCACATCAGGACAAGGCCCCACAAGAATGCCACTGCGCCAGAGCCTGTGGTTTGCTGCCACTGGAGAATTCCTAGGGAAAGGGCCCTGGGGAGATTGCTCAGCAAGACAGAAAAATGCTGCAGTGAGGCCAGCAAATGTCTTCCTGGGATCCTGGAGGTTTGGGTTTAAAATGTCCCATGGAGTTTAGGCAGCACAGCCCCCTTGTAGCTCACGCAGCCTTGTTTCTGAGTAGTTTCTCAGGGACTCGCCACTTCAGGATGGGGGATTGGGATGGTTTGCTTTCCAGTTATACAAGTTGGCCTAATGAGGCATAAGGGCCTATACTGTTTGTGGGATAAGGCTTTGGTGCCCCATTGGGCTCAGTGAGGTTTGAGTTTTGGACCTCTGTATATCCGGGGGAGAGCTTAGGAGGCAATGCCAAACACTACAAACAACCTTGAAGGAGAATGGTCAGTTTCTGCCTTTGCTTTCTTTGTAGAGTGTTCCCTGGTCATTTAAACCGGCAGAAAGAATTAGTTAAAAAGGAGCAGTGTGTGTGTGTACAACTAAATCAGTAAGGCATCATTTCCCATTAAAAAACACTTTAAAATTATTCTTATTGATTTTAGAGAGGAAGGAATAGATAGATACATTAATGATGAGAATCATTAATTGGCTGCCTCCTGTACACTTCCCACTGGGGATCGAGCCCGCAGCCCTGGACATGTGCCCCAGACTGACCTTCCTGGTTCATAGTCGATGCTCAAACACTAAGTCACACCAGCCAGGCAATTAATATTTAAAATAAACATTTTTATTCAGCTGGTATTGAGTTCCTAGTATGTACCATTCCTTCTTCTAGACATAGACTATATCAGTAAACAGAACGAAGTCCTGCCTTCATGACCTTTTCTTATAAGGGAGGACAGACAGACAAATTCTGCTTCTGGTGGTGATAGGTGCTACGGAGAAAATCAGGGTGAGAATAGGGACCTAATCAAAAGGCATTTCCCATGAGGTGACATTGAGAAAGGCCTGAGGAAGTGAGGGAGCATGTAGTGTGGCTGCTGGGGAAGAGAGTTCCTACACAGAGAGCCACAGGGCAAAGGCCAGGCAGGGGCTTAGCAGATGGCCGGGAGGAACAGCTCGGAGGCCTTTGAGGCTGGAGCTGAAAAGTGAGAGGGAGTTGTGGGTGGGGTGGTCAGAAAGTCAGCTGAGAACAAGACTGTGTGGCTTTTTGAAAAGGCTTTTGCCTTTTACTTCTGAGTAAAAACCCATTGGACAGTTTTAAGTGTTAGAAGATGAGTCTGACCAATGTGGCGAAGGAACTCAAGGGGGTCAAGAGCAGAAGAAAGGAAACCACTTAAGGGGCTATTCATTCATATGGTCGGATTCTGGATACAGGATTTGTTGATTGATTCCATGTCAGTGTGACAGAAGAGTCAAGGATGACATCAAAGTTTCTGTCTTGAGCAATTACAAGAATGGGCTTGTCATTTACAGAAATGGGGAAGGCTGAGGTCCATAGATTTCTGGCTTGACTAAATAGTTTTAGGAAGAAGTTGTGGAGATCCAAGAAGAAAAAGTTTGACTAAAATGTTTATTTTAAATATTTATTGCCTGGCTGGTGTGACTTAGTGTTTGAGCATCGACTATGAACCAGGAAGGTCAGTCTGGGGCACATGTCCAGCCATTGGTTCCTTCATTCTCTCCATTGTCTTTGAAAATTTGACTTGTATTTGGGGTCAATTCTACCACGGTTTTCAGGAGGGGGTGGGACATGGTTCCATGGTACTAACTTTTAGGGATCCTCAGTGTGGTCAGAGGCTCTTTGTGGGTAGATTCTGTCCCTGGTGCATCCCTCATTTCAGGTGCTGTGTTGGTTTCCTAGGGCCTCATAACTACCACAAAGTGGGTGGTTTAAGACAACAGAAACGTATTCTCTCATAATTCTGGAGTCTAGAAGTTCAAAATCAAAGTGTTGCAGGGCCCTGCTCCTTCGGTAAGGCCTAGGGAATAATTCTTCCTTCCCTCTTCTGAGCTTCTGATGGTTGCCGACCATCCTTGGCTTATAGATGCAATCCTCCACTCTTCTCCCTCCATTGATGCATGGCATTCTCCCTTTGTCTTTGTGTGGCCTTGTAAAGACACTAATCATTGGATTTATGGCCCAGCCCAATCCAACATGACCTCATCTTAACTTGGTTACATCTCCAAAGACCCTTTTTCCAAATTAGGTCCCCGTCTCTGGTTCCAGGGGTTAGAACTTCAGCACATGTTTTTATGAGACACAATTCAACCCACAACAGAGGCTTTGATCTGGGTTTGATTACGAGAGTCTTTTGGGCTTAGATGTGTTTAAGGATGAGATAGGACCTATTGAAATAAAGTTAGAAAACAGGTCGCTCTGGGCTAGGGATGCCCTGTCTGTTGTGAGGAAAAACTTATTTCTTGTCTAGCAAATTTAGGTAAACTGAAGATTTAAAAATAAACAAGTTCATTTTTATTATTTTTTGAAACTTGAAGACTTTAGGATATGCAGTGGTAAAATCATGAAGAAGTCATGTAACTGGAAGACAGAAGGAATAAATATGATAAAATGAAGAATTTTAAAGAATCACTTTGATTTTGACCGGAATTGAGGCCTGGACTGTAGGTAGAAAAGCTCTTGCTGATGTTCCAAGTTTGTGGTTTTGCTGGTTGGGCAGCAAGTTGGCAGAAATGGAGTGCCTCGCGCCTGCGACCCTGAGCCCTGGCTGACTGTGGCAGAGGACACTGTTTGCTCCACTAGCCTTTCCCTTAGATCCCACGGGGCTGGATGCTACACGGCACTATCGAGCTGCTATCGAGCTGCTGCTCCCCTTCCGTGCAACACCCAGCGCATTCACATTCTTCAGTGCTGTGTCAGGCATTTATTAGTATTTCTTCCTTTGTAACTCACCACAAGTACAGTCTAAAGGTTGTTTATCAAAGAAAGTTTAAGTTTCCACTCTGATATCACATTGATAGGACTATGTCAGGTCTAGCAGTGTAATTAAAATTCTTTAGCAAGAACATACACTTGTGGCCAACAAATTATATGGTTCTGAGAGTTTTTATGGTGCTCCTGTTGTTTGTAAGGAATTGTGTGGAAGTTGGACAGATGGGAGGTGGGTAAAGAGATACGCCTTTTCTCATCTTCAGGAAATTTGAGGTAAGAAGACAAACAGGAATTAGAGGTTCACATAAAAACTGATAGATTGGTAGATGCCACATTTGGCACCTGCAGGAAAAAAAAAATCTAAATGTATTGTTTAATAAGTATCTGGGTAGGGAGTGGGAGAAGCTAGAGGCAGGGATATGTAGTGAGGTTTAGTGGCACAGGCCTCGAGTGATAGTGGGATTCTCTTGGATTTTCCTGCAAGGCCTGTCAGGCCAGGCTGCTCACCTGTCCTTGGCCCTAGCCTTTTCCTGGCTCTTCTGGGCACTCTAGTGGTCAGTGTGAAGCCACAGCTGCTCGTGTGAAGGGGTAGGTCTGAGAGGGCACTGGCCGCATCTGCACCGCCTGGGCCAGAGCTTCACGACTGGCTTAGTCACACACATCCTTGGAGGGGGTTATTGAGTTTTCCTCAAAAAGGGAGCCTTCATTTCATGTCTGGTAAGTGGGAATGCAGCCACAACTACGTCTTCAGGGCAGGGACTGGCGGTGAAGCCACCATGCTTCTGGGGTGACCACAGGGCAAATAATGTTCGGACATCATTTCCTTTGACTAATCTTTTGTAATCCTGGTCCAGATGTGGCTCCTGAAAGTCAAGTTCTTTGTCTAGGTTGAGATTTTTAATTTAGGACCCAGATGGGGAAGGAGGTAAACTTCCAAAGGGTCTGTTTTCCTCGGTGTGTCACTGTCCTGGATTCCTGGCAGGCGGGTTTCATTAGAAAAGCAGATTTCACCCTGACTCATCTGCCTTGATGAGATGTGTGATACAGCTTTTTAGCACTCATGAAGCCTGTCGTCTTGCTGGACAGCAGAGGGTACACGTCCATTCAGCAGTGGTGGCTACTGGACCTGGCTGGGCCCGTGGAAAACCTTGACAGTCTGCTATGGGGCTGGAGCTTTGTCCTGGAATTTCCTGGCCTTTGTCTGGTGTAAAGTCATGTACCCAGACGCCTGTGTTTAGAGTCTACTTCCTTCTAGAGGAAGAGTGCTACTGCCATCCACGCACTCTGCTTTCTGTACCAAGCGACCCCCCCCCTCCCCCCCCCGCGGGTCCGGGGTCCGGGGTGCGTACCTGGCTCCCGGTCAACAACATGCTCCTGGAAGTCACCGGTCGGTCACAGAGGAGAAGCCATGGCCACTGGGCATAAAAGTTGTATCTGCCAACCCGTCCCAGTCACCCTAACCTTGTTTCTTACCTCACATTGCAGCAGAAAAAGTCCTACCTGGAGCGCAGCGTGAAGGAAGCGGAGGACAACATCCGGGAGATGCTGATGGCGCGGAGGGCACCGTAGGGAGCCTCTGGGGAGCGCTTCCTCCGGGCCCCTCCCATTCCTGGCAAGGACGGGGCTCGTGCAGGGAAATGCTTCTGCTGTGCTCCGATGGACCTTTTATCCGATGGCCTGGTAACCCCTGTTTTCTACATCACCCTGAGCCCCTTTCACACCCAAGACCGTATTTTTCATCCTGCTCTGCCTGCCATCTCTGCCTGAACTCCCCGGAGAGGGGAGATGGGAGCCAGGACAGGTAGGGGAGCTGTGCCCATGCCCCCTACTAGTCATGCTGGTCAGACCAATAAAAGGCATCTGTGCCACTCTGCCAAGTTTGCTTTTCTTGAGCCGATGGATGAGAACAGAGAGGCAGAGGCTCTCTCTCCCTGAGCTCCTCCCTGTCCCTCTGGGGCTGTGGCCCTGCTCCTTCTGCATCGAAGTCCCCACACTTATTTTTTCCTCTGTGATCCTTCAAGTAAACTCCTCAAGCTCACCGCCTCCATGGGATGTGCAAGCAGGAAAGCAGGGAGACCAGGGCATAGCTGAATGTAGTGAGGACAGCAGTCTTCGGCGGCAGTGTGCCTGAAGATTCCTGCTTTTCCCCAACATCCCAAAAGAGAATTTACTAATAAGCCAGCAGCCCCTCCAGGACTGTCTCCCTGTGATCATAAGGTGGACACTGCCTCGCGAGGCCTCCCAGAGGCTCGGGATGGTGGTGTGTGGGAGCTGCTTATCCTGGCTCAGGAGAGCCAGTTATTCAACTTTTAGGAATTTTGTTTCAAACCAGTTGTTAAACACAGCCATTATTCAAAATTAAATTATGTAACTTTACAATTAAATTATTAAAGAACAAGGGTAATAAATATTCAAAACATCTCTCTTCCTAATAACTAAGTCTGCCTGTGATCTATGTTTTGAGGTTAACAGTCTTAATCTGGACGGTGCTTCTCTTCCCAACTCCCAGGACATCATGGGAACTTGAAATCAGCTATGGAGGGACCCATTTACTCCACAAAAATCAGAAATCTCTACATAAGCATGGCATTGTGTTTATTTTTAAAGAGTAAACTGGCAAATATTCATAAGCATATCACTGCTTAGAGGGAAGGTGGGCAGGGAGTTGTCAACTGCAGCCTCTTGGGGCTGAGAAGCTCTGACTTGCTGCTCTGGTAGCTCAGCGCCACCCTGTGGCCAAAGCTAAGATGGGTAGCATGGTTTCCTGATGTGTGTGTGTCTGTCAGCAGGAAAAGAAAGCTTTGAAAAGGCTAGCTTGGCGAGGGCCCCATGACCTGACTGAAGGCCCCAGCCTTGGGACCTAGTTTCCTAAAAACACCCACCCTGCCCACCAGCAGCCAGAATGAAAAGGCAAATAAGCGCCGCCTCATATGCCGGACAGCGGCCACTAGCTGAGACACCCGCAGCTTACATTTTACCTGGAATAATTCAGACAGTTGAAGTTTAGACAAATTTATTGAAACATACAGGGTGTTAGCAAAGAAATCATTCAGTGATATGTTACATTATGCCACTACTTTGAATGTGTACTTTAAAAATTATAAATATATATTTCATAACTAAGCCTTTGGCCAAAAAAATAGAAGGGAAGTCATTTAGCACATTTGTGAAAAGCCAATAGGAAATTAATTTTGAACATTAGAAAGATAAAGTCACTGGATTAAACATCAGCAACCCCTGCTAACCTAGAGTCCACTGTGTTGAAGGTAGAAGTGTCTGCGCAGAGCTAGTCATTTAATTTAGCAATCAGAAGAGATGGGGCAGGCACACCTATTGGAGGTGACAGAAGAGCTGGCGGGACAGCAGGGACAGGCCGGTCAGGTGAGCATGTCCCAGAGGCAGCAACAGCAGAGAGCCGTCCAGCACGCGGTGAGGCAGGAGGATGCGCCCAGGTCATCCCTTCTTTGGTCTTCTACCACGTACACTGGAGTGGAGAGGAGAGAGGGTGAGAACGAATGGCGCAAACCCTGGGCCCCGCAGAGCCCATGCCTCCCAGACCAGGCGCCTTTCTGCTTATGCTGTTGTGGATAGTGAAGGGAGGAAGGGGCTGAGCACCTCAGCTACTTCCCCTCCTCCCCCTCCTCCTCCTCCTCTTCTTCCTCCTCAGGACTCTGATTCCTACAGGGAACCTATACTGCTGCCTGGCACCAAGGCAGCCAGAATTTAGATAAGAAAAGTCCATTGCGATCTGGCCAGCGTTGGTTTATAAACCAAGCAACTCTACTATTAGTAGGTCCTGTACCCTATAGAGGTCCGAGGGAAATGTTTCTTTAGATACAACGAAGCCCTTGCCCAAGAGAGAGAATAACAAAAGTCTTCTAAAAGAAGAATTAAGAATCTTGGTTTTTCATACCTGGGCAATGAACAGTATCAGAATGTGTCTCAACCTCTAAACTCTGACATAACACCGTGGAAGGCAGGGATGAAAACCTGGTCTGGTAGGAGGGACGCCGGAGCCTAACATGCTTCCTGTGTCCAGAATGGAGCTGGACACCTAAGCCTGCCAGGACCAAGTGCACTGTTAAGAGATTTGAGTGCAAAACAAATCCATAGGCAAGAAGGACCCCAACCACCCTTTACTTGTCAGCTGGTTTGCGGCCTCTCTTCCCTTACGGACATCCTTAAAATGCTGATGGTCAACCCTGTCTTCCGAGAATCTGGGCCACTTTTAAGAAAATCTGAAAACCACCACCATCAGACTGTTTTAGGCAGTTAGGATTTTAAACTTTCTGAAAGTTCATGAATACACGAATCTTATAAATTAAGCCAGTTCTTTGGCAATCTTGTTTCAGTTCTATTTTTGCCTATCTATTTTTATACCTCCTCTCTGGGTAACTTCCTCTCTGGAGCCTGGTATAGTAGCCAGAATATGCCGGGTTAGTATGAGCTTTCCAAGTTTCTCCCATTGTATCAGTGGCCCTCCACCGAGACATCCCCTTCCCTTCTCTTCGTCTCAGTGCTTCCATTTGGCCCCACTCAGCAACACATGCAAAGTTGTTCGGGGTCTGGGTCTCAAGACTTACCACCAGGAAAGCTTAGTTGAAGGGAAGATAACCCGTTTGTTCTAAGGCCTGACTTAGTCCTAACAGAAACCCTGAGACAGATATCTCCATCATTCCCATTTCACACATAAGGAACTCCAGGTTTACAGAGATTAAAGTTTCTTGTTCAAACACACATGACCAGGCAGGGGCAGGATCTGAACTCAGGCCTTTGACAAGCTAGGCCTGCCCAGGCCCAACTAGGATAGAAAAGGGAGTAGGAGTGAATGGGCTCTAGGACAGTCCTCTCACACCAGCCAGAGCCCACCCTACCTACTGAAGGCCTGGGCCCTCCAGACTCGGGTCACCGCAGCAAGTGCCATCTGCCATCTGCCTAGGTGGCAGGCCTAGTCCCCTGGACAGTGCCACTAGCTGAGATTCCTTGGACAGGGAAACTGAGGACACAACTGGCTGTGGCTGTGGAACCCCTTGAGTAATCCCTTCCAGTAGTCGCACTGGCTCTGCTGCCCTGGGATAGAAAGGCCCCCTCCCTGCCAGCTCTAGAAGCAGCCTGCTTGACCCAGGCCTGAGACCCAGCCCAGGGTAGGTGGCCATGTGCAAGTTCCTGCTGTTTCTTTAAGCTGCCATTTATGAGGTGTTCACAGATGGGCCAGGACCAGTGCCACTCAGTCTGCCCAGCCCTGTCCCCCTCACCGCTTCTCTCCGGTCAGAACCACTGAACCGCAGGCAGCTTAGTCAGGAGCACAAAAACGTCCCTGCCTCACTTCCTCTATCACTTTCTCCTTTAGTTCAGTTTGTCGTTGCCAGGCTGTATTTCACATGACACACTCCGAATCCTGGGGCGATAAGTACGCTGAGCTCCTTGCTCCCAGACACTGTCCGCGGAGGTTAGAAATAACCAGTCTGGCTGGGAACGGAGGACTTGCACCAGACGGCTGCCTCGGCCTCCACACGGGTGGTGAATGCGGTACATACCTTAGAAACCCGAGCACTCATTTCCTGGAGCACCAACTCTTCCAAAGCCCTCGTGACCTTTCCATTAACTGAGGACAGAACCTCTGCCCCAGGCTGTCAAGAAGATGGGGTGGTGGGAGAGTCCCCGGGGCAGGGCAGGTGTGGAGGTAAAGGGACTTGCTCTGAGGAAGACCTCACAGTTCCTCACAGCTACCCCCTGTGGGGCCCAGAAGTGGCATGTTTTACACCTGTACCTCCCAGATGCCTCACCTACCTGAAGGGTCTGCTGCACGGCCTAGTCTGCCGGGGACACCACTGCTCCTCGCCTTCCGCTAGTCCCCATCCCTGCCACCTAGTGATGACTGCCTGAGAGCGCCGCCTCCACCTGGCTGGCCTGCCAGAATGCAGCCCTGCTGCCCGAGTCCTGGGCCCTGACACCCCCCTGGGTACTCGAAGCCAGGGGGCCGCATGTGCATGGAAGTGACCAGCAGCATTGGGTACAGCAGGGCTGAGGTGCAGATGATGCCAGTCTCATACTCCCTACCCAGGCCACGTGGCCTTCCTGGCCATGGTCTCTTCTGGCATGCACGACCAAAAGGGCAGAACTATGGCTATGTAAGAAGTTAAATTATGTAACTTTACAATTAAATTATTAAAGACCAAGGGTTATAAATATTCAAAACTAAATCTGCCTGTGATCTATGGCTATGTAAGAGGAAGCTGGGCAAACAGTATACAGAAACTGCCATTTCTATAACTCTTACGTAAGCCTTAAGTTATCTGAGAATGAAAGGTTTATAAAAAAAGGAGGGGAATCAGAAAGCAGTGGGGGTTGGGAGCAGGCAACTCAGCAGTCAGTGCCCAGGTACAGGGGCTGCCCAGATTGAGCTTGGAGATCAAGTGCCCCAGTGTGGGCAGCTTAGGGACAAGGAAGGGTAGGGCCATCTGTTCACATACACATCAGCCAAAAGACTCCCCCCTATGAGCTGTCCAGTGGTTGGTAGCCAAGGCTGCCCTGTCCAGCCAGTGCCAGAAGCCTGTGCCCTGGACCCAGGTAGGAAGGACTGAGGGCTCTCTTCCTAGAAAACTGCTGTTGAACTGGGATCAGGGTCAGCCTACCTGCTTGTCGCTCTTGCCCCCGAGCAGTCCTCTGGCACCAACCCTCCTCGGTTTCAGCTCCAGCCCAGGGTGGGGCCTACCAAGGGGCTTTGCCATGTCAGTGCAAGTGGAACGGAGAGGGAGAGGGAGAGGGACAAAGGGGAGGGAAGGAAGGGGATATGAGCACAGTTTTGACCCAGAGGCCCACAAAGGTCAGAAAGGCCCCAGGCAAGTCTTGGGTGCAGAGCAGCTTCTGTCAGAGGCTCCCACTTACCCTCTTGCCTCTGTGCTAGAAGCAGAGTAAACAGAAAAGGTGCTAGGCCTATAGCCCCTGTGCCCAGCTGCCTGCCCACCAAGCCCTGGGGTCTTCTGCAGGCCACCAGCCTACTACATCCTCGCCAGACACACCCCCGCAGCCCGTTCTAGGACTACCTAGTGAGCAGCCGCAAAGTGCCATTCACACAACCTGGCTCTGGGCAGGCAACAGGCACGGGAGCTCCGGCCACGGCCACGGGGGCAGGGCAGAGACGACTCACAAGAAATGTGAGCTCCTTCCTGGAATCTGAAACCTTTATTTGCTCAGCTCAGACATTTTAAATGATTAATCAGATGCTGTTGGTAATGGAGCCTTATAGCCCACCCCTTCGTGAATGCGTATGGAATAGTCACAACCCCGGAAGCTAATAAGGACCCAAATAAGGAGTGGGGCCTCCCACAGAGTTCTGACACCTGGCGCCCTCTTGCTCTAGAAACAAGGAAGTCGCACCTTAGCATCTTGCGGCCCAGACCAGGAATGGCACCCAGGGCTGCTTCCCAGGCTAAGACCACCACAGCCACTGCGCTTTCCAAGAAGTGGCCCCAGTGAAATGACAGCTTTGCTAGAGGCAGGAGGCCTGGAGCCTTGCTCTCCTCAGCCCACATTGAGAACCTAAGTCAACAGAGACCCAGACAGCCTTTCCAGGGATATCAGAGCTGCTGGAACAGCCCTCCTACTGGTCAAACCAAGAGGCAGGCAGGGAGGGAAAATGTTAAGGTAGCAATAGGTTGGATTCTGTCCCATGCAGGGGCAGAGGGAGAGCACAAACTTGTCATGGATGTACATGTGTAGTGGGATCAGTTATTCTGTCCCATGCAGGGGCTGCACTGGTGAGGAAACGTCCTAGAGGCAGTGCCACTGTGTCATCTGTGCAAGCTCGTGAGCACCAGGTTAAGTGTGCTGGGGGGGTGGGTGTTGGGAAGAGTGGCTAGGAATAGCAGAGGCAGTGAAGGTGTCATTTAACCTGGAGGTTAAGAGCAGGAGAGGTTAGGAATACTTTCCTTTCCTCTTCCTCCACAGGGAGGTGGGGAGGGGCTGGCACAGCCCTGGCCCTGGTTTTGCAGCAGCAGCCTTTGCCTGCTAAGCTTGGGGCCTCCCCAGGCATCCAGAGTATGTCCCCCAGAGAGTCAGGGCCCATTGCCTCAGAACCGCCTGAGAGATGGAGTGAATTTCAGGTCCTTCCTGGAAGCCACTCGGCCATCTCCAGCAGGCTTTGGGGGGGGGGGGGTGGGGGGAGGTGCTGGCCCAGAACAAGGCATTCCTGGGGTGGGTGGAGGAGAGGTGGCTGGACTATCCCCCTAAAGAGGTTTACTCCAGACTTTCCTTGGCCGCCCACCCCTAGGGTTGCTTCATTGTTTAAGGACAGTATCTCTGGGGCTCTGCCCAACTTCCAATCCCGATGCTGCCACTGATGGCTGTGTGACCCTGAGCAAGCCCCATCTTTCCTGTGCCACCGTCTCCTCACTTGTGAAATGGGAAGAGTAGTGCCTAAGCCTATGTTTTATGACAAAAACCAGACAGTGTAAAGTGCTTGGCCCAGGGCCTGGCATACAGTGAAGGAGGGAGGACTTCATAAATAGGAGCCACCATGTGGTGACATCCTACAGAAGAAACCACCAAAAACGTGGGTTTTCTTCTTCTGGGTCTGTGTGAGAGCGGGGCTATAGCCAATCCATATTCAGATTAGCATTTGTGTGTGTGGCCCAAATCATCACAGGATGCAGAAGCGGAGGCCCTGGCAGCAGTCCATGGTTAGTTAGCACAGCGGCTCTCAGGGAAAAGGGAGAGAAGCCCACCCCTGGGGGAAGCTGTGTGTGCTGGGGGGCAGACACACAGCTTTAGCTGCTGAGACACCCCTCAGAGACCAGAGGGTGAGATATTCAGGAACATCCCGTTTCCTTAGATGACGGTGTAAGGAAACCCGCACATACAGTGAGAATGTGAGCACTTGCTGAGATGTGATGAGTCTGTGACTATCCTTAAGACAATGTCAACATAAGGGCTGCAGGAAGTACAGGCTATGAAACATAATAGGAAAGAGAATGGTCAAGTTAGAAGGGATGTACGTAATTAAAGGATTAAAAACAAGAGTAAAGTGTTTCTCCTTATGCCTTAAAAAACCCCACAAGTGTTGGCCTACAAGGCCAAAGGGTCAAGGGCATACACCTGGGCTGCAGGCTCCGCCCAGGCCCTTATTGGGCTCGTGCAGGAGGCAACCAATGGATATGTTTCTCACATCCATGTTTCTCTCTCTTCCCTTTCTCTTCTACTCTCCCTAAAAATCAATGGGAAAATATCCTCAGGTGAGGATTAAAACAAACTAAAAGCCAATCCTGTGTGATCAGCTCACAAACGAATCTCAAAAATTCCATCAGGAAAGAAGCTGTGTTTTGGGGAGAAAAGAGTATCTTTCCAGAGCCAGCTTTCGGCTGTGTTTTGGTCTAGGAAAATAAAAAGCAGAGATGGGGTAAAGGAGCTGACAGCATTTTCTGTCCATCGTCACAGAATATTAAAGTGAAAGCACCATCCTCCTCCCACTCTTTCACCCCCCAAATGGAGATGCTGTAGAAGAGGAGGAGGTTGCTGAGGAGCCCGAGAAGGGCATGTGTGCGAGAACACACAGCACAGACCACTTTCCTCATTTGACACAATCAGTGCTGGAAGCTGACCAGAGATACTTTCCAGTAAAGACCATGCTGGTCTACAAGTAGAAAAGTGGAACTCACCCTGCTCAAAAAACAGAAAATAAGCCCTCTCCCAACACCCCCCCCCCCCCCACACACACACACACCAACCAAAGAGGAGGTCAAAACCAGTGTCCACATCCTTGCTACCAACTTTGGGAGTTGGACAGACCCAAGCTGAGGTCCTGGCCTGTTCATTGCTAGGTGACCTTGGGTAAGTCATTTGACCCCTGAGAGCCTCTGCTCCCTCCTCTATCGGGAGGACAGATAGTTGTGGAGACTCCTGCCTTATATAACATGGGAAATGAGGACAAAAGTATTAAACAAAAAAGATCAGTTAACAAATGGGAAAGTTTCATTATGGGGATTCTTAGTGAGATCATATAGTACATTTTAAATGTTATATTCACAATTTGATACACACTCCTCTGTTTATGTCAATAAAACTAAAGAACTGAGATGAGGTGTTCTGGTGCAGCATCTACATTCGGGCACTCCCCCCACCCCCCTCCCGTCCAGGCCCAGAGTGTGCAGGGTCCCGCACATGCACAGAGCTGATTGAAAGGTTGAATAGCTTTGGGATGGGGTAGGGTGGGGAATCTACCCAGAAGAATTTATAAGATGAAAGACGTATAGATAATATTAGTTTTTTGTAAGTTTGAGCAGATAATAAAAAACCTCATGCCGAGCCAAAACCGGTTTGGCTCAGTGGACAGAGCATCGGCCTGCGGACTGAAAGGTCCCGGGTTCGATTCCAGTCAAGGGCATGTACCTTGGTTGCAGGCACATCCCCAGTGGGGGGTGTACAAGAGGCAGCTGGTCGATGGTTCTCCCTCATCGATGTTTCTAGCTCTCTATCCCTCTCCCTTCCTCTCTGTAAAAAACCAATAAAATATATTTAAAAAAAACACACAAAACAAAAAAAAAAACCTCATGAAAAGCAGCCACCAAAAGTCAACCTCAAATAGTTTGCTAGTGATAGAGCTACTTCTATTGCACAAGGTTATTATTCTGGTGAATCATCTCATACCCAGAGGGGAAGAGACACCTCAGCAGGATCCCTGTTCTTATTTGGTTCAGAGGAGAAAGCAGCTTTCCTTTTACTCTGAAGTCAGCCAAGAGACAGAGGGGGTGGGAGGGCAGGATGAGGCACAAGCAACAAGTGATTCCTAGCACCGCACTTCCGCTGGAAGCCTGCACCATGGCCTCGGACAAGAGAAGGTGTAGACCAAAGGGGAGGGGCTCAGCAGCTACGAGAAGCCCCAGGTCACTGATGACATTTCCGCAGCAGAAGGGAGGGAGCCATTCACTGTACGTGAATCTATTTCTAATGCAGCTTTTGGAAAAGTAAGTGTGAGTGGGGCTGCTATGCCAGGCAGAAGAAATTACGGGGAAAAATCTGATTATGCCCAGAACATGACAGTTCTGTGACCGTATGGCAGAAGAGTAAAGACCTCGAGGCAGAGAGAATCCTCTAAGGTAGGGGTGTCGAACTCAATCAGAGAAGGGGCCAAAATCTAAAATCCAGCCTAAATCGCAGGCGGAATGGTTTACTGAACAGTCATAAACTGTCATTGTGATGGAAACGCAGCGGAGTGCAGTGATGACAGCGCGGTGAGGGCCACATTGCAAGGCCTGGCGGGACGGATTTGGCCCGCAGGCCTTGTGTTTGACACATGTGCTCTAAGGGCTGGCAAACT